AAGTGTCAACATGATTAATTTCACATATATGTAGGAAAAGCAAAAGTTTGAATACATCCTAGTAAGTCAAGTTGCTCATCTCTCTACTTATTGACTATCCGACAAAATATTGAATTGAATGTTTCCGCCTACTTGTCTAAATTGTTTTATTGAAACGTTGCCTTGTCGGCATCATAAATTATTTTTGTTGTTTTGTTGGCACAATGATTGTTGTTTTTGCCTTGCCGACATCAAGAATTATTTTTTTTGCCTTGCTGGCTTACTGTATTATATTTTGATTGTCATTAGAGTAATATCATTTATGAATGATTTTTTTTTACTCTTTTTTTCTTGTTAAAACACTTCGAGTTTATTTTCTGTCATCAATTCGTGTTTGGTTTCTCCCTCTGTTGATTTTTCCTTTATTACTTCATCTCTTGTAGTGGAAATTGTTAGGCTTTGAGTTACTATCAGATCTTCATTTGGCATTCTTTGTTTAAAAGAAAAAAAACATAACACAAAATAAAGCAGGTATTTTTCATTAATGGTAATCCCATGTTCTACTGTTTTTCTATTGGAATCTTATCTTTTATATTTGTGGTGCAGTTTTATTATCTTGTTATAGATATTTGGTTGAAATTTTGAGATCTTATCTTCAATTTGGTTATATTTGTCCATGAACTGTGCTTGCGGATAAAGCTAGAATTTTTTGGGGTTGTTTGGGGAAATTCTTGGCTTTTCTGTCAGTTGAAATTCTTTCTTCAGATTGCTTATAAAAGTTGCAAAAATTGTTGTGGTTTTGGGAAATCTTAGATTTATGAAGCTGGAGAGTAAAGTGCTATTTTCATGCTGTAATGTGAATTTGTATGAAAAATTTGGGGGACTGTGGAACATAAACTTTTGTGTATTGTAATGGTAATGGAAAATGCAGTGATGTGAAAATAACTTGTGAGAGTACCTTTATTTCTCGATGAAACGTAGTTCTAAGTAAATTTGACAGTGAACTTGCCATACGTTCCGTTTACAACCTGACTGTTTATTCATCTCTCTCTGGTTGAGCTGCTAAAAACTCTCAATCTGATTGTTTATTCATCTCTTTTAGGGTCGTGTGTCAAAGTTGCCTAGTGTATCAGATGAATCAACTTAACTTGTTAGGGAGGAGAAGATACTAGTAACTAGCAATTTCCACTCCCAGAAGGGGAGATAAATATTTTTTTTGGTTATAGTCGTATTTGGAAGTTTTGTAATGTTTAGTTACCCTGGACACACCCAATTTTTGTCTAATATATTTTGGTGGTGAAATTGAACACCGTTGTTTCTCCCTGTTAAGATTGAACATATTGTAAATTTTGTTATTGGATACAATTGTGAAAGCAACATATACATCTAGTTTTGAATGGCAACATGTACAGCAATCAGTAAATATACAAGTGTCATAAATTACGTACAAAGGAAGAAGGAATGGTAAATTAGACCTTGAACAATCACAGCA